TACCGTGGTGCTTGGGAAGATCTTAACTTTCCATCCCGAGATCCTGCATTGAGATCCTATGTTGAGATCCTGTGCAGGTGAAAACACTTCCTATCTGCCTGCAAAATGCCCTTCCAGCAAATTTTCTCAAAGCTATGGAGTAAGGAAAGGTAGGCCTCCCTCTCTCCTCTCCTACAGGCCCTACTTTCTTTCCCGTGGGATCTATTTATATTTTAAATTAGGGATTTGTGTTTATTTAAATTTTAAACAACGGGTTGAACACGTTGCTTCCACTCAATTAAAATAAGTTGGCCCAAAGTCTAGCCGTGTGATTTTTGTTCTTTAAAGCATTCCTAGCCTGCATTTTAATCAGAAAGCTTCTCACGGGAGGTTAGAGAGAAATAAACATGCAACAGGGCCTTCTCGCAGTTTTGTAATTTTAGGAATGGCACGAGAGGAAGAGGGGAGGGGAGGGCAGAGGAAAAACGGTGGAGAGCATTCTTGGGTTTAAGAGGTGGTAGCTGAATAAGAAGTTCATGAATTGCCTCAGAAGAGGGTGAGAAGGCAGGAAAAGCAGAGGATTATGACATTTGCTGTACTTTGCACCTGCTTGCATAGTTCGGAGAAGGAGTGGTGTGTCTCCGTCTTCTTCCTAAGACATCCTTGTCTTCTCCACGATGGTCTCCAAGCAACGCAGCTCTGAGAAACATCCCAGACTGTTTCTAATCTTCTGGTGTCAGGATGGTGAAATATGGCATTCCTGCAGGGATAGATGAAAAGGCAGCTGTCACTGTAAGTCACGCTTATCCCTGAGAAAATTTGGCTTTTTATATTTTCTGGAGCTGGAGCCAAGGTATTTTGGGGTTGGGGGTATAGTCCGGTCACTCCCCCCCACAAAAAGGGAGAGTTTTCATTTTCTTTTCTTTCTTTCTTTCTTTCTTTCTTTCTTTCTTTCTTTCTTTCTTTCTTTCTTTCTATCTATCTATCTATCTATCTATCTATCTTTTGTTGGGAAAGAATTTTATACAGGATTAAAAACTACGGAAACTAAAGGAAAAATTAGA